CTACCGCCGCCGCGGCCGGACGGAGGGCTTTGAACGCTCCCGAGGCGGCGGAACCCGCGGCCAAACCCCCAGCTCCTCGTGGGAGGGTAGGCCGAGGGACGGGCGCCCGGAACGAACCGGAAGTAGCCGCCGCCGGAGAGCAATAGCCAGCGGACCACGTCCTTCGGTGTCTGTTAGCAAAAGACGCTGGTGTGGATTGTTGAAGGAGTGCCGGCGGCTCGGGGCTGCTGCTTTTTCAGATTTTTGCTCTGGGCTCTGTTCATAAATACAGATGCCCCGCTCCCAGGCGGGACTGTGGGTCATGATTTGAATTTGTCGGTGTGGAGAGGGCGGCCCCTTCCCGAAAGCGGGGATGAGGCCCAGGCTACCGTTAGTTATTGGAAGAGGAAATAGGCCTCCAAGGAGGGGCCCAACTTTGATGGCATCAGAACGGAAACGGGCCTTTAATAATAACAGCCATCAAACTTACTGTTTTCTCAGGTGCCTGCTGCATTGCTAAGTGCATCACATGTATTATTAACATTTAATCTTAACACTAAACATAACCCACATTTTACATTCCAAGAAACCCAAGAAGTTTAGCTTTTGACACAGCTTGTAAGGTGTGAAATCAAGATTGTCAGGTCTGTGTGTCTCCAGAATAGTCCTGTGTAATAGAAATATAACAGGAGCCACATATGTAATTTAAAATCTTCTAGTAGCCACATTTTAAAAAAAGGAAAAAGCAACGGGTGAACTTGACTATTTCCTAATTTATATTGTTAAGAATATACAGAGGAAAACAGACCGATTCAACCGTTTCTATATGTACAATTCAGTGACGTTGATCACATTCTTTGAGGTGGGGAACCATTCTCACCCTCCTTTCTGAGTTGTTCCTCCCCCATTCACATAAACTCAGTGCCCCTAAGCTTCCTGTTTAATCTTTGGAGTTGCTGTTCTCAATTTGATCCCCTTTAGATAGTTCTTAAAACAGTACAGTGCTCAAGGCAGACATTTTTTTACTAGTTGAGCTAAAGTACCGTTTGGTTTTAAGAAGACTTCAGGAGATATTTTTGGTTTAGGGTTTAAAGATTATTCTCAGGGCTGTATTTTCAGGGGTTCATCCAGCCTCCACGGCTCCAGAAACTCTAGAGTCCATAAGAATTTCAAGTTGTGTTCAGCATTTCCCCCTTTGGATCAGGATTCTTCTGTGGAGTCTTTGATCAAAATGTTCAGTAATGGTAGCCGGGCACCATCCAGGTCTTCTGGTCTCATGGCAAAGGAGACAGTTGTTCATGGAGGCAATTAGCCACACATTCCATTTCCTCCTCTTATTCTTAACTCTCCTTCTTCCTCTGTTGCTCCAGGCAAACAGAGAGCAATTGTTATGCTTTGGATGGCGACTTGCAATCTTTTAAGACCCCAGGAACTACCCAACGAACTAGGTGGTAGAACAGAAGCACTAAACACATTAATAGGCCAACTAACTGGGATGCCCCATTAAACCATGACCCTAAACCTCCAAACCAAGGAACCAAATCCCATTAGGTGTTTGGTGAACTTGATTTTAATAATATACTTTACTTAACAAAATATATCACAGATATCATTTCTCTATAAAAACTATTAATGAGATAATGACAATCTTTTGTACTAAGAACATCTCAGTTAGGATTAGTCACTTTTTATGTGCTCAATAGCCACAAGTGGCCAGTGGATACCACATTGGACAGCACAACTTTTGAAGCATTAGGGCCAGAGAGAATTCACCCTCCTTATAAATCAGTTTCCCCAACTCCAGAAGCAGTAATTACAACTGCTTTAGCGGAAAATAAAATGAAGGCTTCAGTTGAAACTTTTTGGTCTCAGGACTTCTTTGTATTCTTAAAAATTATTGAGAGCTTTTATTTATTGGGTTATATCTATATTTATCCTACTAGAAATTAAAATTGAGAAATAATTTTTGGCTTTTCTTAATTGAGGTGCAATTTACATAGTAAAATTCACCCATTTTTACTGTAGAGTTCTATGAGTTTTGACAAACATGTATAGTCATGAAACCACCACCATAATCAAGATAGAATCATCAACCCTCAAAAATTACCCCCTGCCCCTTTGTAGTCAACCCCTCCACCCAGTCCCAGTCTCTGGCAACCACTGATCAAAACTAAGAAATACTTAAAACCCAAGAACACCTAAACATACATTCCATTAGCTATCAGAACAATGACCTCATCACACATTGTGTAGCTTCTGGAAAACTCCAGCGTATGCTCAAGACAGAATGAGAATGGGAAAGGCAAAATAATGTCTTAATATTATTATGAAAACAGTTTTAACCTCAAACCAAAAAACCCATTGCCATCGAGTCAACTCTGACTTATAGCAACCCTACAGGACAGAGTAGAACTGCCACATAGGGTTTCCAAGGAGCACCTGGTGGATTTGAACTACCAACCTTTTGGTTAGCAGCTATAGCTCTTAACCACTACACCACCAGGGTTTCCTAAAAGCCCCCCTGAAAAAGTCTTAGGGACCCTTAGTGTGCCTGCAAACTACACTTTGAGAATGCCTGCTTTAGCCTGACCTGGGAATAACCTGCCGCCCTCACCAACAAAATCTGCTGAAACCTCTAAGTTCCAGGCTATTTTAAATAACTGACATTTATGTAGAGTATCCATAGTCAATCAATTCACAAATATTTTTGTACACGCTCTGTCTCATTGATTCTTACAAAGACCACTTGAGTAATAATAGCACTCCACAGCTCATGAAGTTAACAATTTTCCTGCTGCCTGGCTCTTGCTGCTCCTCTAACCAGGGAGGTGCGGATCGTTGACTAATAGATGTTCCTATAAATAGGGATGTATTACTAATTTATGATGATAACGCCACAGCGAGTAGCCAGCAGGGCCCGCTCTGATATCCACCAGGCAGATCCAGGGTCTGTGGCATCTTGGGAGATAACAGGGTCACTAGGTAGGGCCTTACAGACCTCTCAGCTGCTGTGATTATTCTTCAGGCGAACGGTTTATCCATAGGCTCAACTCCTTGGGATAAAAACCTAAAGCAGCGTTCTTCAGCTGCCCCATCTGGATTCAGCTGGAAATCCCCCTTTGCAACTAATTTCAGAGCTCCATCTCACTTTGGTATTTAAATTACTGTCTGATTATTTTATTTTATTGTGGTGGACTATCTAACATTTGCCATTTGAGCCATTTTTACGTGTACAATTCAGTGAATTACTTTTACCATGTTGTGCAACCATCACCACTGTTTGTCCTTTTTATTTTAAAATTCAAAACTCAAATCCGATTCAAAATTCTTCACCTTGACTGAGAGAAGGGGGCCTGGAGGCAGAGGTGAGGCTCGCTCTCGATACCTTCTTCACTCTCTTTTCTGGCCTCTAGCTCACCTGTGTCTCAGAAGAAAGGCCTCAGAAATTGTGATCACATTGACACACAAAGCCACAAGAATGATCTAGACTCTACTGGGTGTCTTTTTAATATTTAAAAAGGTTATTATTGTCCTATCTTGTCCTACCAGATAGAAACATTGCATTCCATTACATGGGAAGGTCTTTAGAACTAGACGTAGAGTTTGAAGGAGAGGCTATTCTCTCCCTTTCCTTGGGGACATCCAGGTGAACCATTAGTGGAAACTGGTGCATCCCTATTCTCAAATACCACACTCACCCACAGGCATCTTCCCACCCCCTAGGTCTCCCCTTTAATTGACTTGGGGAAAGCAGGCTGGGCCTCATTTTTGCCCCTCTCACTTAGCCCGGAGAGGAAGGTGGCCCCAAAGATAGGCTGTAGCCAGCACTTCTCTCAGTTTAGAATTTGTAGCACTCAGTGCACTTTGCCCTCAGCTTTGGGCCTTAGCGTCTGTTCTGGAAGAACAACAAGATTTTTTTACATGCATCTGGAGGGAATTATGCTGAATGACATAAGTCAACCACAAAAGGACAAATGTTGTGTAAGACCACTTTTATAAAAACTTAAGAGAATGTTTACACACAGAAAAAAAACAACCTTTGATAGTTACCAGGGAGGGGAGAGGAAATCACTAACTAGATAGTAGACAAGTGTTAACTTTGGTGAAGGGAAAGACAACACACAATACAGGGGATGTCAGCACAACTTGACCAAGGCGTAGTCATAGAAGCTTCCTAGACACATCTAAACACCTTGAAGGACTGAGTTACTGGGGCTGAAGGCTGGGGGCCATGGTCTTGGGGAACATCTATGTCAACTGGCATAACATAGTCCATGAAGAAAATGTTCTACATCCTACTTCAGTGAGTAGCGTCTAGGGTCTTAAAACGTGGTGAGCAGCCATCTAAGATGCATTAGTCCCATTCTGTCTGGAGCAAAGGAAAATGAAGAAAACCAAAGATACAAGGAAAATATTAGTCCAGAGGACTAATGGACCACATGAACCACAGCTTCCACCAGCCTGAGTCCATAAGAAATAGATGGGGCCCGGCCACCGTCAACAATCACTTTGACAGGGATCAAAATGGAGGATCCTAGACACAGCAGGAGAAAAATGTAGAACAAAATTCAAATTCACAAAAAAAGACCAGACTTACTGGTCTGACAGAGACTAGACGAATCCCTGAGACTATAGCCCCTGGACACCCTGCTAACTCAGAACTGAAGCCACTCCTGAAGTCCACCTTTCAGCCAAAGATTAGACAGGCCTATAAAACAAACAATAACACACGTGAGGAACATGCTTCTTAATTTAGTCAAGTATGTGAGACCAAATGGGCAACACTTGCCCAAAAGCAAAGATGAGAAGGCAGGAAAGGGCAGGAAAACTGGATGAATGGACATGGGGAACCTGGGGTGTAAAGGGAAAGGGGAAGAATGCTGACCCATTGTGGGAATTGCAACCAATGTCACAAAAA